ATAAACAAATACTTGCATAAAAACTTAGGTGAATGCAAGCTTATAAAGGAAAGTTTAACTCCAACAGAAAGCCCGGGTGAACGAAAATATGCGTCTAGTTTACTTAAAACGCTGTCAAATGTAGTGTACATGGGGAATGCTTCGTTTTTCAGGCCATAAAGCGAAGCAGCTCCTATCAAGCGCGAATGACTTACAGCGACTTATTTCGCTTTACGCAGACAAATGCAGCAAGCGTGGTATATGGCTAAATATGCATCGATTTTAAAGCCATGGAGAGGAACAGTCCATAACAAACGCGAATGACTTGAAAGATACCTCGTTCTTCAAGCGCAGATGACTTCAAATCTCGTTTTTCAAGCCATAAAACAAAAATACGCTTTACACAGAAATATGAAGTCCAGTATACGGGAAATATGCCTCTTTCTTAAAGCCCTGAAGCAAAACAGTCAATTTCAAGCGCGGATGACTTGATTTATATTGCGTTCTTCCAACCATTTAGACAAAACGGCACTTAACGCAGAAACATTGGATGCAGTTAACGTAAAATATGCCTAGTTTTTAAAGCCATAAAGCAAAACGACTCATTTCAAGGGCGGATCACGTGAAACATCTCGTGTTCTTCGACCCATTAGGCGAAACCGCGTTTTGCACTGGCATGTGCAGTTATTCAGAATATGCCTTTTTCGTCAGGCCATGAAACGAGGTTGTTAGATGCTGAATTCGATAGAAATAAAATCTACTTTATCATTTCCTTTTTGAAGTGAACGAAGCTGCTAAACAGAAATATAAAATTGCGAAATGTCAGTCACAAGAGATCACTCTCTCAAAGTATGTCGGCAGTTTCCTGCATTCTTTCTATTTTTATGACAGTCGATATGTCGAGTAGTTCGAGAATTGAAAAGTTGCCATCGCGTTACTCTTCCGAGTCAGCTGAGTGGAAGGTACTGCATGAAAAAAACAAAAAAAAAAACACGACAAACGTTCATTTTCTTCATCTGGTTAGTTTCACAGAGTTCCATCCATTCTACATTCACTACTATTCTGTTTCAAGTCGGGGAATTTGCCAAAATCGTATTGCAGGTATCGGTCTTTTTAACCACTCACAATCGCGCCCCTTTTTTCCTGGCTTTGTCTCGGTTATTTATCTCCTTTGAATGTTTCATGATAAGAAATTAACCCCTTTTATAATTATTTCTTTAAACCATAGTACAAATGCGTTTGAAAACGGAGTTGAGTTGAAATAGGGTTTGGTTGTGAAGTGTTTTTAACCGTCTTGCAGCCGAGGTTTAGTCAAGTAACCATTGAGTCAGTATTTTTTTTTTTGGTTTATCGAATTCACGATAGCGTCAAGTTTGTCTCTAACCTAAATCACTCAAGGACATCATTTCACACTGCCCAGAAGCCCAGCGCGTTCGAGGTTGCCTTTGCCTGTCTTTTTCTAAACAAACTTTTTATTTCAGTGCCGGTCAGTTTCGCGTATTGGAGTAAATTTGTAAGCTAAAGGGAAGGACAGACCTAAAAAATTTACAACGCTAATAAAAAGTATTGGAAAAATTGTTTTAGGTACTCCCTGAAAATTTTCAGGGCCCAATGATTTCCGAGGGTAAAGATCAGAATTCAGATTTCGATGATTTTTAAAAAAAATACACCGAAAAATGTAAGCCAGCACCTTGAGTAGGATTTCATTTCAAAAGTTGTAAAAATTAATTGCAGCGTTGCGTGAACATTGTGAAAACGCTGAGGAAAGAAAAGCCCATGTTAAGAAAATTGCCCGCCAAAGTCGCTAGGTTACTTTGGGAAACTAATGAAGCTGAATAGTGAAAGATCAGAGATGTCTATAACGTACTGTATAACAACTGCAATTATGTACCCTTTAGAGTGTTTAATAATGAAAAGCCGATTGAGGTAGCCATCTTGAGTAAGAACTTTGCACCTTATGCTACCTTGCCTCTCACACTTATGCATTTGTTTAAGTCAATAGCGATGTAATGTGCGTTTTTAGTACAAAAACCATTGAATTGCGGTATAACATAATTCTATCCTTATAAAAAATAATAAAAATAATAAAAATAAAAATAAAAATAAACTTTATTTTTATTTTGTATTTTTATAAGGAAAATTCATTCAACCAGCTTGGTTTAAAAAGAGATAGTAATCACATCTTTTAAATCTGGTGTATACTTCTGTGGTAATTCTATATTTGAGTAGATCACGATCGCAAGTTGACACGTTTAACGTGTTGTAATAGCTCTATGACTAAATATTTAGTTACAAATGCATGCAATTGAAAGAGTGCAAGCGCGCAACACGCAAACTGCGTGTCCTACACGCACTTGCAGGTCTGATTGTGAGATGCGTATAAATTACACGAAATCAGTCAACTACAACTCATTAAATGTTTTCACTGAGACAATTAGATTCAAAATTATTCGTAAGACTTTCGACGAGCATCAGCCAGTAACTGTACTTTGTTGGGTTTCTTATTAATGGAAAATGCGAGTAACAAGACTTAGAACATTAACTTGCGCTGCTTCCGCTTTTCTTCAAACAGTTTCTTCCGATTACCCCGAGTTCACTTGAAGTTTTTGAATTTAACGATCATAGAATGGAGTTTTCGAAGTAAAAGCAAGCCAAAATTGTAAAGTGCTCTCCCCATCACAATCATTAAACCAATCGCACAATATTGTGAGTCGCAGGGCTTCCTGTTTCATCGGTATGCACCACTTGCAGTTACTTGGAATATTTTTAATGTCAGGTTAAGTGTGCCGGATAACAATTCTCTACTTGTGCCAGACATTTCCAGGACAGAAAAAGATCAGCCATACAAGGAGGAAAACGGAATCCTTTCGCCTCTCCAATAGAAAAAAAAAAAAACAAGAAAACTATAACCATAACAACAGCATAAACAGCAGACAAGAAGTTGAATGATCGCCTAAATGATAGCTTTATTCAATTCTTCTATTTTGGATTTTGGATTCCTCTTAGCATGTTTTGCGAAATCATCTAATCTTAAATAAATGTTTAAATGCCTTAAATGCTCAACTTCAATAAATTTATGCGACATTCTATTTCTATGGGACTTCTGAGACAACCGGCTCGAGCGGGAGATACCACCTTGTGTCTACACCAGCAAAACCGAATTGGCCGAGCTGTAAAAAAAGTCAAATCACAGTTCCTGGTTTTTTGCGTAAAGAATATTTTCATTTCTATTTCTGTTGAGACACCTTTCTGTTGAGAGACTTTCTACATATTCCCAATTCCTCATTCCCACTTCTAACAACATCCTTCTTTCCACGGGTAACCGATCAATTCCGAAAGATGTTTTATCAATGCTTTAAATGTGTTAAGAATTGTTTGAATTTAATACTAAGTTGCCCGAATTATAAAAAATAAAAAAAAATTTAAAAAAAATTAAAGCATAAGTTTATGTTCGATACTTGGAGAATGCATTCGTCTCTACTTGTACCACTTGCACATTACTAAATTTAAGTGAAATTATACTCACACTGCTTGTTGTCAGTCTTGCGGCTAATTAATTGCCGGAATAAGGTTAAGGTAGACGTATTCTTTGCTTAAGATGTGATTATTTATTCAATCAATAATGGAGTAGTTTCTCAAAAAATGTTTATTTTCTAGGTGGCTTAGGACCAACAAGATTAAGAAGTTGAATGGTGATTTATTTACTTCATTGGTGAAGCTATCGTCTCTGTAAGTCAGGAAGCTCACTTTTATAACGATCTACTCTAACCTTAAAGGATATTAACTTTTGCTGTAGATTTTTCCACGCAAGTGACAAAAGGAATGACTCGCATTTCTCGCCCAACTCGCGCTTGCCTCCGTTCTACTGAAAACTCAAAAAATCGCGCCGATGATTTTGAAAACGATCGATACCCTAGAAAATTTAAGCCAGAACCTTGAGTAGGATTTAGTATCAAAAGCTGTAGAAATTAACTACAGCGTTGCGTGAACATTGCGAAAACGCTTGGAAAGGAAAGCCCATGTTGATAAAATTGCCTTATGGAACTGTGATCTACGTTCCTAGTTTTTGTTTTACCCGCCGAAGTCGTCAGGTTATTTTGGAAAACTAGTGAAGCTGAATAGTTAGAGATCTGAGATGTCTTGAACGTACTATAACTATACGTATCCTTTTGATTTTTTAATAATGAAAAAGAGCCGATTAGTGTAGCCATCTTGAGTGAGAACATTGCATCTTATTCTATCTTGTCTCTAAATTTGTCCCTTTTTTGGCTCGTTTCACACTTGTGCATTCGTTTTAGTCGTTAGTGATGTGATGTGCGTTTTCTCTGGGGAGACTGACTGAAAAAAAAAAAAAATAAAACCAAAGCGCAAAAACATTAAATCACGGTGTAAATTAATTTCAAAAAAAAAAAAACCGCCTAGTTTAAACGGAGTCAGTAGTGCCCTCTTCTAACTGTGGTTTATACTCTTTTTGTACGATTCCACATTCGAGTAGAATGCTATCGCAAATCGATACGTTTAGCGTGCTTCACTAGTATGGTGGCCCAGCATTATCATGTCATTTTTTGCGGCAATAACTGAAAACCAATGTTGAATTTGATCGTCATGATCGATTTCATTTCAAATATTATTTGCAATGTATGCTGAATCTTCATTTCGTTTATAATTTTACTTCTGTTTTAGAGTTAAAATTGATTTCAAAGCAAAAATCAATCATAAAAGCAAGTTTGTTTTACAATTTAATTCAAAAAGGATAATGCATTTGAAAAAAGAAAAAAAAACTTAAAAACTATCGAAGTAACAAAACAGAAAAAAAAATTGACTTCTCCGAACGGACCAGCGTTATCATCCCACGCGGAAAGGACTGGGACTGAGCCTTGTTTTCTAAGATGGCGGCCTGTGGTAGATTTTCCATGGAAACTTCATAGTCAGCGGGGATACGGTTTGTTTCTTCTGTTGGTTGCATTGGTTTTGGCTCTTCGTGACAATAATAATCCTGTGCCGTTTGGTTTCGACTGGAAATGAAACGGAGAAAAGAAGGAAAGGAAAGGTGGGAAGATTTCGTGGCACGAGTGGGCATGAAACGATCGGGTGCAGGTGAAGGGAAGAAGGGAGCAGGTGCCAAGGCAGTACCGAACGACATTCTTGTGCAGCGCATGTCCAGCACCGCTTCAGGTAGACTTAAAAAGTTTGAGCCCTTAGATACTCGGGACTTCTTTCCCTTCGGCGACTATGATGATCTCACGATCGCAAATATTAAAGAAGCCTGCGAGAAGTGTTATCAGGCTCCAGAGGGCTCATGCGATATTCTGGCGTCTGACAGGGGACCTTCCTGCACCAAGCTCGAGCAGATCAAAGGTAAAAAGGTTTATTTTATTCGTTTTCTTCCACCGAAGTCCACTGATGTTGCTCCAAAACTAGGACAGCAATTGTTTGAGGATAGTTTAGCACCAGCTAAGGTGACGATGTCCGTACCAAGTCCAATAAAAACGTCTGGAAAACTGCCTGCCTTGCATTCCATGGTCTTCCCCAAATCAGTGACTATTACTGACCTTCTGAAAGCTGGCAAACTCGTCAAGCCACCAGCAACAAATATCACAGTAATATTACTACTACTCGTTTCAGTAGTGTTCTTAGCTGCGAGGATCTCTTAATTTCATCTCTCCACCGCAGTGCAAATATATGAATTTTCATATATCTAAAATCTTCATTCACTTGGATGTTTATTTGGACCCAATTCATTGACCAGCTCCCAGTTGGCTTGTTAGCTCAATTGGTAGAGCGCTGCACCGGTATCGCAGAGGTCATGGGTTCAAATCCCGTCCGGGCCTGAATTTTTTTCAGGTCCTATTTACTACTACTCGTTTCAGTAGTGTTCTTAGCTGCGAGGATCTCTTAATTTCATCTCTCCACCGCAGTGCAAATATATGAATTTTCATATATCTAAAATCTTCATTCACTTGGATGTTTATTTGGACCCAATTCATTGACCAGCTCCCAGTTAGCTTGTTAGCTCAATTGGTAGAGCGCTGCACCGGTATCGCTGAGGTCATGGGTTCAAATCCCGTACGGGCCTGAATTTTTTTCAGGTCCTATTTACTACTACTCGTTTCAGTAGTGTTCTTAGCCGCGTGGATCTCTTAATTTCATCTCTCCACCGCAGTTCAAATATATGAATTTTCATATATCTAAAATCTTCATTCACTTGGATGTTTATTTGGACCCAATTCATTGACCAGCTCTCAGTTGGCTTGTTAGCTCAATTGGTAGAGCGCTGCACCGGTATCGCAGAGGTCATGGGTTCAAATCCCGTACGGGCCTGAATTTTTTTCAGGTCCTATTTACTACTACTCGTTTCAGTAGTGTTCTTAGCTGCGAGGATCTCTTAATTTCATCACTTCAAATATCACAGTTTTAGATCTGGAGAGTTTTGACGTCGCAGAAATAACGTGGGTTAAATGTGGTTCACTAACACTCTAAATTGAAGAAACAAGATTTGCGCATGGGGCATTTAGAGATGCATTTCGTGCTACTACCATCGGTAAAGATGCCGCACAAACCGCATGGGTGGTTAAACGGTATCAGGAGGAAGCAGTAAAGACCATTAAGGATGACCTGGGTATGTCATTAGAAGATCATACAAGAAAGCAAGTGCAAATGAATGCAGTTGCAGGGCACTTAACCAAACGATTTGCTAAAAACGTACCACCTGAATTTGGTGGTACATTTGAGTATGTCAAAGTTTTTTTTTGCTGTGTTTAAAAAGCAACCAGTTACCATTGAAGAGTTTTTTCAAGGCGGATTTCACAGATACGTAAACAACAATGGTTTCCACATCCCCTCCCATCAGTGGAGTTTGATGAGGTTTATGAAAAGGCACAATGCCTTGTGCATTACAGCTATCAGATATCTGAAAAGAAGCTTATGCTGCTTGATATTCAGGGTTCCTTTTTTAAGTTGTACGATCCAGAAATTGCAACAGCTTGTTAATGATGCATCACAGGATTCAAAGGAGGTCAACTTCTGTGCTGGCAACCTTTCCTGTATTGCAATTGATGACTTCAAATCAAAACACTCTTGTAACAAGTACTGTGACATGATGTCTCTGAAAGTATTTGGTGAAAATGATATTTGATATTTGAATGTCCACGCACTGGTTGTGATGAAATTAACAGGTTAAGGACTGGAGCATATAGTGTAATACAGCCTTGAGAAAATTTGTTATCAGGTGGCCTTGAATTAAACTAATGAAAATTCACTCCCTTTGAGCCACTGCAATCAAAGAACCTATGGTAAAAAAACATAACCCTTCCATATTTGACCACCTTCCGCTTTGTTCTTCATAAAACTGAATTTACCATTTTGACACTATTTGGATTTTGTCCCCTGTTGCTCTCTCGAAAGACCCCCAAGTAATATTATGTTAGCATATAGAGGAAAACGAATTGGCACAAGACCTGTACCTGTAAAAACTCTTGTTCTTAAAAGGTTATGGTTATTTATGGCTGGCATTGTTCATTGTAGCCTGTAAGCATTGTTTTTTTTTCAAATTTGTTGCTGTTTAAATTATTTTGACTGTTTTAGTCTATTAAGCTTGTGTTATGTGATTTGCTATCATTGTGACCAATTCCACTTTCCCAGCATGTAGTCACATTTGCCACTCTTTTTCAAGATCTATTTTCAGGTTACTTAAGTGAAAATACTCTTTGGGTTTTTTTTAAACATAATCAAATGGTCAGGTCACAGTTTCAATTGTTGCTAGACTGTACTGATTACACTAATTTAAATAAATTAAGCTCATCGTTGTTTTTCATGTTGTGTCCAGTCTTCAGAATGGTTCTATATTTGAAGTAAAACAGAATGAACTATTAGTCCTGGTGCCCCAAAATGTTGTCACTAAAAATGAACGTTCTGTACAAACAAATTTCTCTCTGTTTGGTCATAGCAAGCAGTATTGTTGGGTTTCAAACCCAAAATGCAATAAAAAGTTTGTCTTTTTTTTTGAGAGATGAAAACCTGTTCTGGTGAGTGCTTCTGGTTATCACGGTGTTCTTGTATAGTAGCCCATCATTTTCACTTTCAAATCCAGAAAGAGTAAAATATATGCGAGATTTCACTCACATCTTAATCCTTTAACTCCCACGAATGACCAAGACAGAATTTCTCCTCACGATATCTATACAATATCAAGCATACAAGTAATGAGAATGAAGAAAATTATCAATTAGGGGGTTACAAGTTGATCCAATACCAATTTCTCCGAACTTACAACACAAGAACTTTATAACAGACAGTAGGGTGAATTACTAATGAGATCCTGGGGAGTTAAAGGGTTAAGGGAACTTGATATTTCTTTTAAGAAATTTCAAGGCTTCAATTGCATCCTTTGATTCTACTCTTTCTGGATTTGAAAGTAGTTGCAGACATTCTCTCTTCACTCTTGGCTCAATAAAGTCAAAGACGTCTCCATCCATTACCCCTGACAACTCGGCCACCTCCCTCAACTCGTCCTTGTTTAATGGGACTCCCATGTTGGTGCCTCCATAATGTCCAGGGAAAGAAAATATGTGGTCGGGTACCCCAGCTGGAATCATGCATGTACTGAGACAATTGGATTCACAATTATTTGTTAGATTTTTGACGAGCATGAGCTAATAACTGCACTTTGTTAGGTTTTTTTATGAATGAGAAATGCGAGCGTCGAGACTTAGAAGATTAACTCGCACTGCTTCCGCTTTCCTTCAAACAGTTTCTTCCGACTGCATGAGTTCACTTGAAATCCGAATATAATGATTTTGAAATGGAGTTTTTAAAAGCAAAAAAAAAAAAAAAAATTGTGGAGCGCTTCCCCGATCACAATCATTAATACTTCGATGAAAAATTTGATTTGCTTTTAAAAATTCGTTTCCAGGAGCGTTATCAAAGTTTTCTCGATCTTAAATACAGAACGCACAAAATTAATTTGCTTACAAGTGTGCTGCGGGCTAAATGCCCACCTCAATATCGTCTTATTCTTATTGTTGGGATTTTGGTCGCATTAGTTACCTTGGCCTCCTGTAACTATTTAATCAAGTATGTTATCCTGTCTAATCTTGGACCAAATTTTCATACACATCAATAGATCGTTAAGCAAAAACAATATCAAGAAGTTGTCTAATAATTTGTTTGCTGAATTATTCAATCTGCAAACCCTGTAACCTATTTGTTTTACTTTAACTGTTCCAGGATTTTACTAAAACACATGTTCCGGAAAATTCTTATTATGATCCCCTCGCTTCTGTATAGGGAAAAACAACAACAATAAGGACAACAAGGACAAAAACAGCAAAAAAAGATTAAATGCTCATTTAAATGATCTCTGTATTCTTCTTATTGGGATTTGAATTCCATCCAGTTCTTTACCCTGCTGTAACTATTTAATCACGTTTTTTATATGCCTTTGTAGTAGCTTGTTTGGCAACCAAATAGAAAATCTACCACCTGGAGTCCTCACTTACAACACCGAGTTGACTGACCTGTAAGTAAAACATTTTTGGTTTCATATTTGATACTATCCATACTGTTTTATCTCAAACTTTAATAAATTTGTTTTGCATAACACTTATTGTTAAGTCCAAGTCTGACTGTGAGCTGCGTGTAAATTACATCAAATCAAAATATATTATATTAAAGTTCACACGGCAACCAGTTGGACAAAAATGGCTTCGGTTCGTTGTTCTTGCGTGACAGGATCCTTAGGTTTGGCGAAAATATGCCCCAAAGTCTGAAAAGGTTTTAGAGCAACCTTACCGTTGTGGCTATTCAAAATTCTCTTGATAGGTTCCGTCTGAATGTAAGGAATAACAGCGAAACCAGTCGCTGGTTAACTTTCATCAGGAGTGTTACTAGTTGTAACTGGTTTTTGGCAGTTATGGAGAAAGGTTTTCCTACAGCCATTTGCCTTTAGGACATTAGAAACATATTTCCTCTCCTCAACCTTCGAATCGAATAAAGGTGGTAGACAGTCAGCCCTCTTGAGTAAACCGACGCCGAACCGACACCATTTATTCTATTCCCTGCAATGACTGTGACAACGAATACGTCAGACAGACCAGACGTCAGTTCGGTACACGTTTGAAAGAGCATCAAAAAGCGGTTTTCTTTCGCAAAAAGGAAAATTCAGCTTAATCGGAGCGCACATGCCTAACTTACCATACAATTGGGTGGGATAATTCTAAAATTATCAGCACAGATCAGCGTTACCAACAGCACCTTTGTTTGGAGGCTTGGCATATCAACTCCACCCACGTTCCTTTAAATCGTGACGATGGCGGCTTGCTTCCTGACGCCTATGAAATCTGTAAACCAGAGTAGCATCAAACCATGTCTATATGAAATCAGTTAACTACAACTCACTAACTGTGTTTACTAAGACAATTAGATTCAAAATTATTCGTAAGATTTTGACGAGCATCAGCCAGTAACTGCACTTTGTTGAGATTCTTATTCATTAAAAATGTGGTTGCCGGATTTCCCGTTTCAGTGGCATGCACCATTTGCAGTTACTTAGCATTTTTTTCAATGTCAGGTACTCGAGATTAAGAATGCTAACCCATAATAGTATAAATGTACATGTAACAAGTGTCCAAATATATCCCGAAGTTTGGAAAAAACACCATGGCAGACATTTTCAGCACAGAAGGACAGCAGCCATATAAGGAGGGAAAATAGAATCCCCTCGCTTCTCCTGAGAGAAAAGCAACGACGAACCAAAAAGACAGCAATCATAGTGAATATCACCCACACGACCTCTGGGGTCTGTACTTAATTCAGAACCTCGACACGAATTATTAACTGTAGAAAAATAAACAAGAATAGAAATAAAGGCAAAAAAGTAAACAAAAGAGAAAGAAAACATTTTCACAAAACCACAACACCAAAGGAACGTAATGTGGAAGAGCTAATTTATTGAGCAAAGGAGTGGAATTACATTACTGCAGCGAGAGTTTAAACGTGTGATGTTATCATTAACTTCATTTTTAGGTAGCCTGAACGGTAAAAATTTTAAAAAATCACCAAGCTTTTTATAACCTTTTCTAACTCGCAGTCAAATAAGCGTTTTAGTTACCCGTCTGATACGCTATAATAATTATTTTATTTTTCGAGATAAAGACAAATATAATTGGAAACATAGTGTTCTTAACAATATCAAGTAATCGGCATATAAAGGCACTTGTATTTAAAAGAGCATCAGAGAAACGTCTAAACAACCCCAACTGGATAATGATGGACGGAAAAAATCTTAATATGATCCCCTCGCCTCTGTAAAGAGAGAAACGACAACAATAAGGACCACAGGGACAAAAACAGCAAAAAAACATTAAATGCTCATTTAAATGATCTTTGTATTATTTTTATTAGGATTTGAATTCTATCCAGTTTAATCACGTTTTTTTATATGCCTAATCTTTGTAGTGACTTGTCTGACAACCAAATAGAAAATCTACCACCTGGAGTCCTCACTAAAAACACCAAGTTGACTCGACTGTAAGTAAAACATTTGTAGCTTCATATTTGATACTATCCATACTATTTTATTTCAAACTATAATAATTGTGTTTTGCACAACATTTATTGTTATATTTTGTAAGCAGCTAATGTTGATTCCATCCCACCCATAATACAACACAAGTTAAACCGTGGAGATCTAAATTCAATTTATTCAGAACATATTTTACCCAGTCCAGGGTAG